ACGCGATTTAAATCCGGAAAAATAGTTTCATTTCCTAAGTACAGAGTATAACTTTTATTTCTTTGTATGAAATTTTATTACTCAATATCATACTCAATATCGTAGTAATCAGCAGCAAAATCGTAAAATGAACCGCTATCTCAACTGATTCAATTAAACAAATCGATTCATTTAATTAATTAATCGATTATGGTCGGGTCGGTGACTTGTTTGATTACTTTTCTTATAAAAACGACATATAGTTCACTACTTGTTTTATTATACTACATATGTGACTTTCTACTTTGTTTTATCGATCAAAATTGCACGTAAAATAACACTGCTTGATAACTAGTATTATTTTGAATAACTATTGTATGGGTAGTTAAATGAATTCTAAATTTTAGTATTTTGAAATAAAATTATCGAGTCACTTCATCTATATTCATTTCACTAGTACATCTGACCAGTTAGTATGTACCATTTTACGGGATGCGGGGAGAAATTTTGCCGGTTTCAATCAATCAGTCTCGTGTTTGGTTTTGACTGTGTTTTATATATAGAATACCTAGGTTTCCGCTATTGTTACACATAGGAAATGGCATGTATTTTTTCGGATCTAAATTGCGCATATTTGTTTTTCAAACAAACCAACGTTTCGAGCGCTATACAGGTCTCATGGTCAGTGGTGACTGAGACGGTAAAACCATCAGCCATTTATACTTTTATTTTTTTAATCTTCCTATCATATCGATGGCATGCACTTTAATGCTTGCCATCGTTTCGCCAATCGGCGAAATATAAATGATTGCTTTGAAGTTCCGAAAATGTCTACAGGGTATCAGGTTGAACTACAAATATTTAAATATAGATTATCCGAACATTTAAAAAGAATCGCCCCTGAACATAAGAAAAAAAAATGTCGTGCCACTTTACAAATATTAACGCACTCTTTGTTTGGGCTACTCTATGACACACACAACAGAACAGCTGAGCGGTAGGAAATTGAACTCCCGCGTGTCAAGCCTTCCTACTAAAACAGTACTATTAAAAATAATTCAATTTTCCCTTTATTCAAAGCGTGCGTAGAGGCCGGTAAGGGTAGCGGGCACTCGCTGCATGTTCGATCTTGCGCAAAATGTTAGAAATAGTATTTTCCTTACAGAAAAATATTTTAAAATAAGGTAGTGTTTTTTTTACATGTTCGGTATGGGTATCAGCTACACATTTACCTCTAAATATTTATCTCGTTCAACCTGTCACCCTGTATACTATTCATATTAAAAGACCTGATTGGTTCACATCTTTGTCCCGTGTCCCGTAGGCCAAGAAGATCTTTCTATTGGCAGTCCAGCAGTAGCACTTAGTAATGCTTACTTAGATTTCAAAATCGCTAGTTCACCCATGTAGCGGTCATTTAGTTACCACGCTTCGTAGAGCAAATGAATACATACCTTCAATTCACTGCGTTTAATACTACACGCAAAATAGGCGCTTTGACGTCGAGCTGCGGACACTAGCCCGTTACACCAAGTACCATATTAGCACTTGCATAGTTTTGTTTAAAGTGAATTGAAGACATGGTATGTCTGGCTCTCTCTCTTTTAACAAAATTAACACTTTCTTCACGACAGATGGTGGTTGTTGTAAAAAAAACATTTTGTTGTCGGTGTTATCGTGTTTTCTAATATACTGATTTGTGTTCTCGGCTTTATATTGTGTAAATTATTGTCTGTCTTTCTGAAGACTGAGTAAAATGACATTTGTAGGGTTGCCAGTTTTTATAAAATTTTAAATAGTTATGTAGTTGTTGTCGATAGTTTTATCGATAGATTGTGAAAGAAGATATAATTTTGCCAAAAATGACTGAATGGTGAATGTTACGACGTTCTAATGATTACTAAGTGCGTTATTGCCATCTTTATTCTTATTTTGACAATTGGCCTACTAGTATCGAGATCAATTTTTATTGATTACACATTTTAATAAGAATAGCCGGATTTAATTGTCTATATTGAATTAAAATTAAAAACTGTGAAATATGTCTCCTCTTTGCATTTTTCATAAACATAGCTCTAAATATAGTGTATGTATGTATGAACTTACAAAAATTGACAATTCAAATGAACTTGTGCTTGGTAATTGGATAAATAATGAGTCGAGCATGATCCAAATGACACAAGTTTGACTATTCATTCCATAAGCGTGACCAATATTCAGTCGATAGAATATTTATCGACTGCAATCACTAGCTGGTCTCAAGCGGGCAACACTTTTGCACAATGAACTGTCATTTTACTCCGTTTTCAAAAAAGACTGTATTCAATTACTAAACACTTCCATAATAAGTTTATAGTATTTATGTGATGAAAATATGTGTAATGTATTAGCCTTATTTATTGAAAATAAAAATTTAATATGTATGTAAGTATACTGGGTTATTTTTAAACCTGGCAGATCTATATTACTAACATATAAATAAACAACTACTTTTGATCCATGATTTTTTACAAAACATAATAAAGAAGGATGGCGAAAGCTGAACCAAAATCAACGAAGTGCCGTTCATGGACTTTGCTAGTATAATTTTACGTTTTAGTTTATGTCTGATTATTAATATATTTTTAGAAGTAGGGAATAAAGAAATTGCGAAACAATGTATTTTAGAATAGATGCAAAAACACAACGCAATTGATTCAGTTCGACCATAGATTAGGTAAAGTTTTTGTGCGTGCGTTTCATTTTAAGCATGATTGAATGTTTACCTACCTAAAGTATTGGTTATTCAAATAATCGATTAAACAATAATGACATAAAGTAAAAAATAAAACACGATGTGACAAAAATGTTAGTAGACAATATTTAAATGAGAGATACGAAAGTTAGCAAAGGAACGTTTTGACAAGAGGCCTGTTGCCAATGTCAATGTCACTTTGAGATTGAGAACAGTGTGACCATTTGTGGCAGATTTCTGCCATTTGGGCAGATTTAATTTTCATTCATTTTCATTGCGACAGAACATGTTAACGCTGTATTAATGTGGCAGAGTTTGGCAGATTTAGGAACATTCAGCAAGTTCTTTATTATTTTTAGGAACAAATTGAAAACTTGTTGTTTTCTGCTACTACGAACAAACATCTAAAGCGAAATACAGGATAATGTTATAAACATAACCTGTATCAAGTTTATAACCCCTTGCTTGTACAGGCTGTACTCAATTATCTTTTTTTATGCTTTGATAATGAATCACAAGTATAGATAGATCTCTTTAATGCATGTCGTTAAAAACACTGGGTCACAAAATACACGGGATGTCGCCATCCTTCTTTACCAGAATTAAACTTTTAACGTTTTGTTGTACTGTCTGACATTTTTTAGATCTGTATTTGATAAAATAAGTTCAAATGTGCAAGCGTTCTCCGCGACGACTACCACCCCCATCCCGTACAGAGTTACTACCGTTTAGAGCGATCTATTTAAAATATATTTATTTTTGTATGAAAATAAACTCTGATGAATTTATTGAAAGTCGTGGAACAAAAGTTGTTGTTTATGATGTTATAGTCTATTTCACATAGGATGGGTACGTGATATTTCCAATTTTTACACTACACGCATACTATTTTTAAGTATCTGTCAACCAACTTACAAAAAGAATTAGTAAATTTGTTACAATGTACCAAAAAACAATATTTATTGCTGTTGTAATTTTAAGTAAAAATTACGGTATATTAAGTACATAGACAATGACAGAAATAAATTTAAAAAATAAATTACCCCAACTACTTGATGCGTAAAACAGAATATTTATCCATAGAGATTTACACCATAGAATCGATAAATCGAATCGGTTATTAAGTATCTAGCGTCAGTGCATACACCTTGTGTGGGGGTAGATTTTTCTTTTGTTTTGAAATTTGCGTGATATTTAAGAGTAATTGTTCAAATTTAGTTTCGTTGCAGTGATTTTGTGCGTTGTAAAGGTGACCGTTTTTGTTTGGTTGTTGTTTATTTTTATTTGTTGTGTAGTTTTTTCGTAACTTAATAATTTAATCCTTTTTATTTTGTTTATTATTTGTTCTTAAATAATTATTACTTTATTTATACATTTATTACTATATTATTTATACAATTATCTGTAAATTGATTCTCTCTTCGTTACAAATTATCTCGATAAGATATGTAAATCGATTTTTTTTTTCGTTCGATTTTACTTCACACATGTCTAGAAACTTCAAATCTCAAACGTCACACTACTAGAGATGGGTCGTCGACGCGTTTTACGTTAACGAAACGCAACCGTCCATCGTCGACAATCAACTAGTCGGTCAACTAGTTAAATTTGTCGACTAGTCGATCATTCAACTTAAGTTGATTTTCGTTCGTAAGACGAGTTTAACTGAATCAACTAAAGTAGCTTTTGAGAATATGAACTATAGTTTTGGAAATTAATTCATTTCCAATGTTTAACATGAGCGCGGCTATCGACGCTTTTAACATACTGCAATAGAGTTTAATTCCGATAGATTCAAGGACATTTGTATATTGAATGCACTACTGCAATAATAAATAGCATAACAGACTTATCTTACTTCATCGCACATATTCAAACATCAACTTACACGTACAGAATTTAAAGTTCAAAATAATTTTTCTGTGTAATTCTATGTATAATTCGACTAAGTCCGCACGTCGCCTCGTGACGCAGAGCGTTGATTAACGCGTGGACTCTCCGTTTAACCGTCTACGAATTCTACTAGTTAACCGAAGAACGGTAGACCGTAGAAACGTCGATTGGACGTGAACAGTTGATTCGACTAGTTCGTCCATTCAACGCCCGTCTCTACACACTACCCATGCTATGTGAAATGAAGTAATGTAGTCCTGTGAGGTTGTTATTATTTTACAAATAACCCTGTGTATCCTATTACCTATTCAACTACCATATCCTACTTCATCCAAATTCCGTACCTTTTCCATAACCGTTAACTCTGTTTCCCTAATCTTTTGATTGGGTAAATGCGAAGGCGAAGCTTTTTATATCATAAAAATATATTGTAATGTTATAATACTGTCTACTAGTTTCGTCTTTTAAAAATTTAACTAATTCTTTTATATACGTACTTCAAGGCTGAGATTTATAAAATATGCTTTAACTTGGACTAAGCAAAAATGGCGAGCTAAGCAAGATTTTCGTATTTAACAAACGAACTTTTGTACATAAGAAAAATTTAGCACGCCATTTTTGCTTAATCCGAATCAAACTTCGTTTTATAAATCTCAGCCAAAATGTTTTTGTACAAGATGTATTTTAATTTTGGAATATGTAATCGACGTTTAATTTTATTTCGAAAAATTAAACATCCACTAGCCCCCCCTAAAACACCTGCCCCCCACTTAATCAACAGCTATCACCCGGGAGAGAAGAACACGAAGCCGAAATGGATGGTCCAGGTGCGTCACAAAGCGCAGACTGTGAGCCCACGCCGCCGCCGTTGCAACGACGGGGGTCCGCGGCCAACTTGTTCCCCCCTGGGGAACCCCATCATCATCTGCCGCCACGGCCGCACCATTACCCGAGGCTAAGTCCTTTATCTAGAAATACAAGGTGAGACGAGACGTTAAATGTTGACTTGTAACGGCGGACATTTTTGCATTATCTCTGAAGTCGTAGTTACCCTACGTCTTTACGAAAATAAAGTAAGAAAAAAATACAAACGCAGTTGTACTGAAATTTAATGGAAAATAATTTGTGGTGTTATTATCATTTTGATACAGATGCTGGCTTAAGAGTCCATACAACCTCAAATGGCTTTGGTTAATTCCGCATAACTTTGAAAGAGATAGATAGAAAATTCTTTGTTGTTAGCACCACATACATATAGAGATTACAGGTCAAAAATAAAACACATTAGCAGTGCAACAATTGGCGGTCTTATCGCTTACAGCGATTTCTTCCAGACAACCTTAGGATGGAGAGAGACTAAACATGAATAAAAGCGGGGTGCTAGATATAAACATTTATACATTACATATAGAAATTATTAAACAACACATGTACATACATACAATATAATATAATAACATGCAGCTACATAATATATTCCTACATATAAAATACTTAGGATACATGTTCAGCTTAGCAACATAGATTGCTATATATAATATACGGTGTAAAAACACTATTCCTAAAAATTTTCATGACAGACAAAAAACACAAACTTGCCTCGAAATTTTACAAGAAAACAGCTGTATTCAATATGTACTTTACATATTATACCAATGATTTAATTTTATATCGATTTAAATGGGATCAATACTGAGGTCCCCTCTTTTCAACAAACAGTAAAATCATCAAAATCTACTACTTATTTTCTACAAATTTAAATGGGACCATTACCGAGATACCCACTTTCCGACAAAAAAGAATCGTCAAAATCGGTTCATAAATGCCGGAGTTATCTACATACTAAAAAAAAGTGGAACTGAGAACCTCCTCCTTTTTTTTGAAGTCGGGTAAAATGTTTCTTCTGCGGTAAGCCGGCAGATCACCAGTTTCGAAAAGCTTGGGACCGATTGTGTTTATAAATTCATACACCTGTATAATGATTATGTCACGAATGCAAAACAAAATACATTTGACACAGTTTAATTCACAAAGGAAATAGGCGAGACGTATGGAACAAAAATGATAAGATTACATGTTATACAGGTACTAATATAGATTTATGTAAATAAAATAATGTTATAGGTAAGTTTAAAAATTTAGAACGCTTAGAGCGTTTGCGCACTACATCGATCTCCGTCCGACATCCGTCCGAAACAATTACTTTCAAATAAGTAATATTCGACAAAATTAAAAGACAAGTATCCAGTATGAAGCTTCATTCGCATCACGCGTCTTTTCATTTGGTCAAGTATTGCTTATTTGGCAGTAATTGTTTCGGACGGATGTCGGACGGAGATCGAGAGTAGACCCCCAGTTCCGAATCCGAGAAATGACGATCCGAAATGTCACAAGTGTCCGAAGTGTCATTTTATCTCTAGTTGTACTAGCGATATTCGTATTTTCTAGGATTAAAATCGGACTTAGTGTACAAGCTATATCCGAGTGGGTCCGAGTTTTCTAAATTTGGATAGTCTCCCATATATTTGGAATTTTCGCGACAGAATCGTTTGAAGCTGCGATTATCTGTCGTCACATTTTTATCGTGACGCTTTATTTATCGTCGGACGACTGTCGTTCTAGCTCTTTCCATCGACACAATGATCTGTCGTCGGGAACGGCAGTTAATCGTGTTGTACTATATGTGAACAACTTCATTTAAATATACAAGCGAAAACTGCAATCTGTCATCACGACATAATGGGAACGCGCCCTAAGGTTTCATACCTGGAATAAAGTTATACAAATTTTACTTCAATAAATACACATCTAATAGATAACAAATTTAAAAAAAAACATGAAAGTAACTTTAGGTCGATAATCTAACTTCAGCCACGGCGGTCCAACGACGGGGTACCGGGTGGTAATGGAGCCGCTGCGCTACGACCCAGGGTCGAATGGAGGCGCGCGGCCCTCGCCCACCACGCAGCAACGAATCAAGGCGCTTGGAGTGCCCACACCGCTTGCCGTCAGCAGTCCAGTCAGGAGGTACGACAAAACGACTCTCTGGCCCTACAACAGTGCCACACTAACAAATAGTAGATTACTGGTAGATTCATATCATGCAAGTGATATTTGGCGTTGAGCGAAGTACACTGTATTTCTTACATCGTGGCATCGTTGCTGTAGTTAGACCGTTACAACTAGACCGCGTCTTAGACCCATATCCTGCGGTTGCTCTTTATAAAGATAAACCTCTAGTGTTTCTTACTCATTCTTCTCGTGTAATTTGCTTACTTATGAAATAAGGGTTATTTGAGTTCGATGTTATGAATATCAAGAGTCCAATTAAAGTGAAGGATTTTTTCTTTGTATAGTTCGATGTTTGTGTCAATAATGAATAATGTATTGGCCCAAAGACCGTGCAGTTGCCACTAGCTAACTTAAAACAAACAAAAAAACTCTTTTAAAACGTAATACTGTCTATGGTCATTTTAAAAATACTATTTTGGCCACAGAACAATAAATACAGCAATAATGATAGTCACACTTGTAATATTATTGTTACTTATAATGTTCAATTTTCTGTTTATCGTAATTATTTTTTTTGTTACAAGAAACGGAAGTAGACCTTGTACCGCTGCAATATGGTAGCTTCTTTATTGGCGAAATAAATAAAAATAAAGCAATTAAAGAAGTCGTCGTTCAGCTATTAGCTGCTAGAGGGTTGCACATTGATTAAAATATCAATAAAATCAAAACGTCGTAACTTACAACAATAGGAATTGATGATACTGAACTATGCCAACAGGATAAAGTTTAAATTATATAACAAATTTTAAATTCAAATTCACAATATCACACGCGAAATTGCCGACGCTTCGGCAGATATGTGTGAAAGAATGGTGGAAAATCGGCTCTAAAGAATTGAACGCTGCAAACGTGCTCATGGTGGTCATATGAACGAGATCGAATTCGTATCAATCGATCAAATTGCACCTGGAATAAATTTCAGTTCGATATCTTAATTGCTCTGTGTTTTATTGACATTGTTATGTCCTTATTGAAAAACCCAATAGATTTTTGGGACTTTTTCCGGGTTTAATATCTATTTTTTTTTCAATACTTTTCAAATGCCTTATTGGGCCTTAGTTAGAGGCGCGTAATACGACACATCGACCTTGCAGACATTTTTTTAAACTCATTGGAAAGAAATAAGTGTATCGCCAGCGTAATAGATCGCCATTTATACCTTCCAGCCAATATCGCTTGAATGATTATATAGTCTTAATACTTTGGTCTTATTATACACATCTGGAAGTCCTAAAGGATATCAAGATATCATATCAAGGATATCAAGGTGAACCCGGTACGTTTCTCTTATAATGTGAAGTCTTGAGTCAACGAAGCGTAATGAAAGGAAGGGGGATACATCTTCAGAATTGAAAGGTCATCGTTAAAATTGCTGTGGCAATCGGTACGTTTCTTGGACCGATCTTATAGTATATTGTTGCTGCAATTATGTAAGAGACCTTCAAGTATATAAGGTATGTATCGGGCTCCATCTATCAGATTTACAAAGTGAGTTCCGAGACCTAAGTATGAGGTTTTTTACTAAACGTCTCTTAGAGTCATGTATTCAACGAATAGTGTCAAATTCTTGTGATACTTTTAATGTTTTCACATCAATATCTTTCATTTATTATTAGTAATAATAAAACTCTCCTACGGGGTATTTATGATGATGGCGTTAAAACTTAAAGGGCTTACTGAGGACTTCATATCTAACAGCTTTTGTTTTACGACTTTTGTAAATTCGCTATTTAAAAAATGTCTTTTCGTTCAACCCCAAACTGCCAATAGATGGCGTGGTCAGTTGATTAAATCAAGCAAGCGTTTTTCTGTATTATCCTGTATAAAATATGTACGATTTTGTACATACTGTACAAACTGTGTGTGTTTACTCTATAACACAAAACGTGATATTTATCGATAGTTTGTTTGAGATATCTTTGGTGTTTAACTAGATGGCCACATATTATATAAATATTATTCACAAATATAAATAATTACTCACAAAGAAATCCCGGGAAATAAAGTTTCGTATAAGAAGAATTTATTTGTACAAATTAACAAAAGTCGTCGTGCAAGAGTTGTTCGTTTTATATTACAGACACCATGTATAACCGTCAATTGTTAACATTGAATGAAAAAAAAAGTTCTCTCTAGACCCGCTTGTCAACACTTAAACGTAACCACACATACTTACTATGGTTATTTATGTGTATTTGGTAAATGTTGAGTGTCTCAACCTTTACACTGTGTGTTTAAATGTTGTTAGATCGAAATTGTACCCAAATAAGGATAATTGGCGATGTGTTAAGAGAAGAACGAAATTTTCCATAAAACTTATAGGTATTTATAATTTCCCATTGTCATGGCCTGTTCCCATCACATTAATAATGAGGTGAGACTAGTTAGCAGAGAATGTTGAATCAGACACTGGAGATCCTAAAAAAAGTAGCGAAAAATCTTCTAAACTTTCTTCGAATAATTATAACTTTACATTAACCCGTCACGCGTTCTAAAGACACGCGGTATCTTTAACGAAGTTTAGTATATTTTTTTAAATTTATTTTAAAAATGGTGGATGTAAACACAGCTGCGCGTTACACCGTGTTGCTCTAGTACACGTGATGGGTTAAATCATGTACCGGGCAAAGATAAATAAAGATGATATAAAAGTGGTTTTTAACTTCAGGATTTAATGACCATTTTCCCCTAGCAAGTCTCACAATAAAAAAACTAAATCCCTCCTCCTTCACTGAAAATGCATCGCTTCTATGTTTTAATTTTCTAAATGGAGTGTTAGACATTTTGATTTGCATGTACAATGGTTTGCCTATCACCAGTTTGCGGTGACATTTTGTTTGGGGTCACTAATTTTGTGTCAGAATTATGTCATTGGTGTCTTTACGATCGTCACTGTTTGTTCTCATTGTTCTTATACGTTTATGACGTGTGAAATAAATAATCTAAAAAGAAGATATTATTATATGATTCAATCAAATATCCGGCACGAAGGACCAAGGGTAAACAAATATGTGATAATCGTTTTTCTGGAGGTGTTTGGTTGCTCTGTACAAATATAAAAACATGCCGGATACTAACTCAAAACTCAACAGTGGATATTTAATAATATGACTTAGAATTAGAAGACGAAAGTCTATTATTGAAAGGCAAACATCTCTTCAGTGTGTCCTGCAATCACCCTATCCATGAATGCTATGTCCTAGATAAGGAGTTACAGTACGATTACAAAATTAACCCATTTTTATATCTTTTATCACAATTTACGATACAAAAAAACTACACGAAAACGTCTCATCATCGTAAAATCTAACTTACCTATTACTTAAATAGAGGTGTTTTTTATTGACAAAAATAATCAAAATTTTGTAATTGTATTGTGCATAACAAAACAAAAAAAAAACAATAAAGTGTACCGTTTACCGCTTATCACGCGGCAGGTGGACCTAACGCATAGAGCCGACGTGTCGACGGTAACTCGTTACATTCTGTTTGGTTTGTGTGTTCTTGCCTCTTTCTAAAACACCGGAGATACACTTCCACTTAATGGGTCAGAAAGAGACGAAGATATGTCATAGAATAAGATAGTAACGTCTAACAAGTTGGATACGGACTCTTGGCATTTTGTGATTGTTTTAATATACCAAATTATTCAATTGACAACACGACAATATATAAATATCAAAAGTCAATCTTAGCGTTCAGTCCCAAGTTGTTAGTTATTAGTTGTTATTTTGCATATCTGTGTCCCTTTCCGGTAGACTGATTTCAGAACCGCGTTTTCCCACGCCCGGAATGTAGTCCTAGAAGCCAACGACGGTCTATAGTGTGACAATTCAAATAATAGTTGAATTTAAAAATCCTTTACTTGATCCCGCGCCGGTGCCAATTCACATCGGTCAGTGTAATGAAATAATACTGCACTTGCACACGCGTCGGCACTGCATTTCTTTAACGTCGGCCGATGTAATGTAAACATACAAGCACCCGCACCGGCGCCGTGATTCATCCACATTTATCGACATAATGAAATAATAGTATTTATTGGGTGCTTAGGTTTTCACGATTGCTACATATAGGAAATGAAACTATTTTTTCGGATCTAAATCGCGTAAATTGTTGTTTTTTTTTTTCCAAACAAATTAACGTCTCGGGCCCTTTACAACAAGCTTGCATGGTAGGCCCGTCTAGACCGTTACTAAGACGCACTAGCTGCTCACGAGACAGACGTCCCGGATACATGCAACCGGGGCAGACAAACATGTCCGTTTCTGCAGCTAACCACAAACCCCAGCGAGTCCATACCCAAGTCCGGCTCCGCCAGAGACGCCCGCAAAGGCGTATCACTGGCGGTGGGCTTGGCCCGCATGCCCGCTGTAACCTGGTCTCGCCGTCGAGCCCGTAGTCTCTCCGGAAAACCCTATCTCTCGGGTCAGTAGATAGATCGGGACACACCGGGACAGTTGCTTCAGTTCTACCAAGCACAAGTCCGGTCGTGCATGGAGTACTGCTGCCACCTTTAGGGTGGCTCTGCTACATACCAACTGGCCACCTTGGATTCAATTGACAACGTGACAAGAAGGTTATAAGTGACTCAGAATTAGTGGAGGCGAAGCTGCAGAGCATCCCTATTCATCACCGGGGGACTAGGCGTAGGCTTGGGTTTCACCTCTATGTTGTGGATATTCCAAAGATTCGCACGAAGCGTTACGCTTCCACATTTATATGGCGAACGGCTATGGAGTGGAATTCTTGGAATCTGAGAATAGGCATTATTCAGGTGTGATGCTCCATCGTCGACCTTATCGTCACTTTCCATCAGGTGAGATGGAGATCAAATGCGAAATTACATTCTATAAAAAAATTAGTTTTATCTTAGAAAAGTCATATTCTGGCGTCGCCAATTTCACATACACAATACGAAAGCGTGCGCGTGCGTACGATTGGAGCGTCTGATCGAACTGAACGGCGCGCCGATTGCATTTGTCGGCGACGGCGGCGGCGCGAGGAAAAACGAGGCGGACCTCTCTCTACGTCGAATACGCGATTTAGATCCGAAAAAATAGTTTCATTTCCTATGATAATATGCCGTCGTAATTCATACACATTGGCCATAATCGCAACTCTGAAATTAGCCTCAGCTGACGTGTGGAATAGTGTGTTCCGTTCATAAAGAGTTGGTGCAATCTTTCACGTATTTTTTTGATGAACGTTTAAGATTTTTCAAGTGACGGTTACTTTAAGAAAGTCTTGTACAATGATCCCGTAATGCCATTTAATTTTATTTATTGTAAAATATTTTTCTATTTGCTGCCTTTGTCTAAAGTGTGAAACAGAGCAGAAAAGAACAATGTTTCTACAGCCAATTCTATCTCGTTATTTAAACTAAGCGGTGTGGGGACATCAAAATAATGACAAACGTTTGCCAATTGGTTGCTAGAACACAACTCTTCTCTGTTCGGCTTTGGTCAATAGAGGCCTTAACGTTTTAAGTAATAAGTTTCAATATAACGAGCGAAGCTTTCTTGATGTCCATAAAAATTACTCAATTTCCGAACGTGTGATGCTTGAAATTTAAAACTAGCACCAAAAATTCTTCAGGTTTTGACGAAGCCCAAATTTTAAATTTCGACCTATGTTAGGTCTATAAGAAAAATATTCAAGCGTCAAATTTTTTCGCGCGTGAATGTGCAGATCTGAAGAAAAAAGAAAGATGGCTACGCTTTGGTAGGAAATCGATATCGACATTCTGTCTAGCGTATTTAAAGAATTGCACCAACTCAGTATTAAATTGTAAATATTGGTTCAAATGCCTGCACATTTGGGTTGATTTGCTAAAATTAATTTCTCCAATACCTCTCCGACAGGTTTCTTTTAAACTTGGCTATTATTAATGTACAATTTTTTTAAAAATTCATCTACTTATCGCCCCTCTCATGGCAAAATGGCGTAAGTGGATTTACGTCAAAAACGTTTATTGCTCCATTAAATATAGAAAAATATAACCCACACTCTCTCCAAGTCTTGTAATTCTATCGATTAATATTGTGGATAGAATTACAAGAATTGGAGAGGATGTAGGTTATATTTTTCTGTATCTAATGGAGCAATAAACATGTTTGACGTAACTCCACTTATGCCATTCTTCTATAAGGGGTGTGTTATGGTAATATATTGAGATTTTTAATAAGTAGAGAAATACAGTGCTCTTTGTGCTTTGTTTAGATTTTTGTAAGTACAAACAGCATTGCTTTTTTTATATATTTTTGTTGTTATTTTTAGCATGTTCTTTTCCATGATTGTGTTGTAAAGATACTTTAATTCGAAGAAACTGGGCTACGTAATCCTTGTCTCGATGGTTTGTTGTTATAATCATATTCGTTTTATTGTGTCTATCCAGCTAGTGAATATTTTAAAATAATTCTTTGGCATAGAAAGTGATATTTTTCCCGTATTAGTGCACTTAATTTATCAATCAAGTAGCTGGCAGGTGGCGGCAAACTACATCTACATACAGTGGCATTGTGATCTTGGGTTATTGAAAAAAAAAAAAATACAATAAAACGACATTATCACCCAACATTTATAATTCAACCATCGAGACAGAGATTTGACGCAAATGAATAATTTTAAAACTAAAAAAAAGTTATTTTTATTTGCAAGCTGTTGTGACAAATCGGACCGAAGGCGTAGCGCGACGCACTATACAATGGCTGGTAGCTACCACCGCTTGTCTATGGTCGAATAATGATCATAGACACAAAGTCTATGGTAAACGGTTCTTAATACAAAACTGTCTTTTCCATCATAACTGTTTATTAAAAAAACCCTGTGTTCTTTCCTGGTGTATTCATTTAAAATGTTGTTATTGTTATTGCTTATTATTTTTAGTTCATTACGACCAGATGTAAATGAAATGAACCAGTTTTTTTTAAATGATTTCGTGCAGCTCACTACCAGTGCAGAAACTTTCAGTGCCGGCCTATAGATATAAAGAGTATTGTGTAAGTAAAAAAACCGTATGGAAACAAGAATTATACCGCACTAGTGCGATTTTCCACACTAGGGCGTTTTACTTATTCAAACCCTTTAAAGTTCACTAAGTTCAAGGAGTTTTTATGTTTGGTATACATTGTTATTACATTTATGTACAAAATAAATAAAAAAACTAAACAATAAATGTACTAAATTGAGTAATATTATTACAAACTGTTTTTAGGACAAATGTTAATAGGAAATGAAATAAAAAAGTATAGGCTGAATGTGTTGAATTTTTGTTCTAATTATAAATTAAACCGCGTGAAAAGGCAATAACCTGCCAATTTCGTTGAAAAAAATATGAAGCTGTCTTTGTTCGTTGTAGTACAGATGTATTAAGAAGTAGTTGATCAATTTGGCGGATATTATGAAATTAAGTTCGCCCAACACTATAAGTAAAGCGCAAATGATAGAATATACCTCTAAAATCTCGAAAAAAAAATGCGTCTTATAAAAATTGCATATCGTGGGAAACAGAAACATGTTCTGATCTAAAAATTTATTTAAAAATATCTTGAGTTGTGCGGGCATCAAGATTATGCTTACGTCATCTCGTTTTCAACGTCACTTAGCAAACTCGCTGTCGTTGCTGAAGTCATTTCGAGTAATTTGAAAGATATTATTGTATACAACTAAAATATTTTTTTAATATTGTTAGTAATAGGTGCTCTATTTAATGGATAACAAACAACAGTATGTGAGTTGGTTATGCCATATTTTTTGATATTAAATTTTTATGTTGACTTGATAAAAAGTAAAAATCACCAATTTTCAACTTGAGCACAATTGTTTAAGCGACGTCATGCTATGGTTACAAAAATTATCTTCCGCGGCTATATACGTTCAGCTTCAACCAACATGTCCGGTTTCTCCAGGAAGTTCTCTGCACTGAAAGAACTAAATATATTTTCTTAAATTGCAATCTGGATCATTTTATATTTCAGTCCATATTTTTCTTATTAGTTTGTGTACATTGTTATACAATTAATTAGATATAATGCTATATGTACATTTTGCTAAATTAAGCACTCGTTCGTCAGTTTTCTATCCATTGTTATGCTTACCAGTTCTTTTTCTTGTACGAAATATACGTCACCAAAGCCATTGTATGTGAACGTCGCGGTTTTGCTAGATTATAAATTACATTTCTGTTCTATTGAAATGAAGCAGGTGTCACTGCTGTACATTTTAACATTAAAGTTGGCCTTTAGACAATACGTCTTTCTATTGTGAAGATGAATTTATGAAACTGTTTCAATTCGATGGAGTAGATATGTCCGTGGCTTGCAGTAGTGTGTAGTGTGTATTATAGTGTAATATGTTGTATAGAGGCATGTGGCGTTGGCATGCTCCCCGCATAAGGCCGCGTGCCGTCTCTCGCCCACCGTTCAGAAACGTCCGTGCTCCGCGGGCAGCATAATCTGCTCCTTGTCGTGCCCTTCGCAAAGCAGAGATTTTTTTTTGCATGGACGATTTGTGCTAACTATCGCATTACATTTGAAGATACTTCATTACACGAAACACATTCAATCGAATGCACGATCAAATTCTGAACGGGCGCGCGGCGAGCGGCGGCGGCGCGGCGCGATCGCACGTGCAAACGCTTCGCCCCGCAACTCCCTTCTCCTTCTGTCCGTAGGCCGTACGATAACGATAGCGAGGGCTCGGACGAGCTCGCGCGATTAAACCCCTGACGTGAGCGCCGCGCACAGGTCGAACCCGGGCACGCCCACGGCGCCGCGGCGGCCCGACTTCATCGGCGTGGCGCCCGGCGGGGCCGGCGGCCGCGCCTCGCCGCAGCGCCGCTTCCTATCCGAGGGCGAGCTGCTGGCCGAGTCCAGCGCGCCGCAGCACCGGCCCACGGCCGACGACATCCGCGAGCTGGCCGCGTCGCCGCAGCGCGGCAACTACCTCTGGGCCGAAAGGCCGCACGCGCCCAAGGCCGCGACCCACCCGCACCCCCCGCGCGGCGGCGTGGCCGTGTTCCCGCCGCAGCCCAGCCCGCTGCCGCGTCGCCGCCCCCCTCCGTTGGGTCCCCCCGCGCCCCGCGCCACGCGGCCGCTGTCCTTCGTGCGCGCGCTGGAGGTGCAGGAGCAGCTGGAGGCGCGGCCCGCGTCCCCCGACCCGCCCGACCGCGCCTCCGTCTACGACTGCAACTACGAGATCTCCGTGTGAGCCCGCCGCCGCGGCCTCGCGTCCAGGGCCGCTGCGAGCCGTCGGTCCACCTTTTGTCCTAGCCGTACCTCACAGTCCTATGTGTTCACCGTTCCGACGTACCCCCCGGGCGCGGCGCGGCTCGATTCCAATGAAATTTCCCGCGATAGAAACGCACAATGGATTCCCAAAATCGACTCGACGTTATCGTTATAGCGCGCACCCTCGACTCGCGGCTCCGGAGGTAGTTCGAGAGCCGCCACTGATCGGGCGGCGCGCAGCATTTTGTACCCTCATGCCATAGTGTGGATAGATGGAGCGATCGTGTACTACTGTAGCTGTAAGACTCGGGTTTTTGCTCGTAAGGTGTAATTAGAGTTTTATATGTATGTATATTTGTGAGTACTTTGTATCGTTGAATTATATTTAACTGTGAATTTGTTGAAAGAGTGTGTACATAGTCCCCAGTGTTGTGATTCCGAGTTGACATAATAATATAGAATTATTATAGAAGATTGTATCAACACTTGAGTGTCTCAATTATTGTATAAAATATTTATATATGAATCGTTCTCTTGGAGCTGTTGTATGTTTCCTTTAGGTTAGACGAGAAGTGTTAGGGAGGTGACGGAATTGACTGATTTGTTAATCTGCTTCAATGATTTAAGTTGAATTATCTGCAAGCGCAGTGATTTTTAGAGATCGTCACAGAGTTCATCAAGTTTCGAATTTTAACAGAAGACTTGACGTGTAAATAGCATTTCACAAATAGACTAATGACGACTGACAGTATTCATTTTTGACACATTTGTAAGAAGAGATGAACTCTGTAAGAGAATTGTGCCAAATATTCAGTAGACCCTGGTATAGCTTGGAGTACGTATTGTGTTCGGTTCCTATTTATACAGAAAATGTTCAATTTGTTTTGGCATTTCGAAATTTGCAGATTTAGAAAGCAAAGCGGTCACAGATCATGTAACACTAGCCGCCGTATGCTTAAATATTCTCTTATAGGCTGTGACATATCTAAATTAATTACCGATTTGGCGACGATTTCTATATTGCTGCTTTGAAAAATATCTTGTTTTAATTTTGTATTACTACATGGCAGATTGGGAAGATGTAGGCGCTGCACGGACGGAGCAATTTTAGTTAGGTGACGCAACTGTCAACTTTTTACAAATTTGCCTTAACGGTTGCCAGCAGCAACAACAAAAAAGCCCAGTTTACGGTTGCCACGATTTTAAACAAACTTCCGAAATCTATGGTCATTAGCAAGACGCTGCGGGTGACGGTGGGGAGTATAGTCGCTCAGTGCGTTACGGTTGCCGGTTGGGGAAATTGGCAACTTGAGACAACCGGTACAAATTGCAAGTTGCTGGCTGTGGCAATTAATAATTTATTTAATCACATATTTCGACAATCAAAAACTGTTGTCGATTGTCGAAACTTCTGCCCTCGCAGTATGCCGCCGCGATAAAATTATTATATCCACATTCGGCTGTCAAATTCGAGTGATAAACCGCCATTTTGAAATTTTATCACAATAATGAACATGGAGCACCGTGACGTCTCATATTTATCGCACCGCGCGCGACACTATGGTATATCGCAGTGCCCTACGTAGCCGCAAGATGACGGCTCCGCGAGTGTCAGTTTTAAAACCATTTTGACAGTTCTGCGCGGAATTTTCGCCATGCTACGGTTGCTAAAATGACTACGTCTGCGCAGTTTAATGAAATTATATGGAAAACATAATAAACGGGTAGTTGCGGTTTGCCAGTTGCCGCAACTCCTGAATCAAAATTGCTCCGTCTGTACAGCGCCTAAGTTGCACATATTGTTATGTTATTTAGCACTGCTCTTATACTTTCTGGTTAGAAGTTCTCACTGACGATGGTTTTAATAAGTACCAGATCTCAAATCTCCGAATTTGTAAAATATTCGTTCCCATCCACGGTACTTAGGTTTTGTATTTATAAAATACGTTAGGGAAGCAGAGTTTTGTGCACTAATAGTGTTTCTACACATAAATGTCATAGGAACGAAGTGTGTGAGATTATTGTGTACATAGAGTTTAATATTATTTATAATTTAACATTATTAAATACGTTCGACAGATTAGCAGGAAATGTTTTGCGAGAATGTAGTGATGAGCACTTTACAAAATACTTTTAATATTGAAGCAAGCAAACTGTAATACTTAGTGTAGGTGTAAATTATAATTGGCATAAAAAAAACATGACATTAACTGCGTAACGTCGATTTTAAAAATTTTTTTTAAGGATATATAAAAATGCTATAATCTTTCTACACCATCGCAACATTACCTGTTAACTTGTCAGCGCAGTTTGACATGTATAGTGTAACACACACTGTACACACTGTGTTTGTATAGAGAACCACAATAATTGTCTTCTATATATAAGGTTAACTATGTAAATATCCCGCAATGAAAAACATTTTTAAGGACAATTTTGTATAGATTATATAAATAGTATTTGTTGTGAATGTTACTATGTGTATATCACATATTTCTTGTAATTATTTTCGGTGCCAGTATTGCAACGTTATGTTCTATTGACATATCAATGGAGGGATTTTTTTTTCAATTAAATCGTTGAGACAATCGTTTGAACAGAATTAAAGATGGTGGACAATGATAAATGATTCAAGAAAGTGTTTTATGTCATGTGATACCTTACAAAATGATATGCGAGAGATTTTTGTATACTTTGTAAGACACTTTAGTGTGTTGCAAACATTTTTGTGTGCATTTTTGAACAATTCACAAAAGTGTTAAAGTACAGAAATCTATTGGTAGCTAGGTAATTCGTAATTTTTAACACACAAGTTCAACATAAGTATTGATTATAACAGTACTATCTTTCGCATGTAACATTTAAAACGGCCTATTCTGTTGTTAAGTATTATCTTTTGACCTGTTCTCTCCTGGTCTTTTAGTGTTCTGGTTGAACATTCCATGCTGCAATGCAATATATTCTTACGCAACTCGAAGATATTACAATTACCTTAAAGTATGGAAATTGATTGACCATGACCATAAGTGTAGCACATTTAGTAACAGTGAAAGAGATAGGTACGTGGATATATCTTACTGCGTATTTTGACAAAATGTAATTTCAGATTACTGTGTTCCGGTTTTGTAGGGTAAGCTGCTGAAATTACGGGCACATGGGACTTCTCAACTTGTCTCATGGTGACGGGCGCAGTGGCAGTGCCCCTTAGATCTTTGCGATTTGAAGCTCTGAATGGCATTGCAACTGTTATCGACAGACGTGTAGCTTACCATCAGGCGGACAACTTGTTCGTCCCGTCACTTGATATTACAAAAAAAAAGAAAAAATATATTTAATGGGAAAATTTTATTATTTCATATTCCACATAAAATGACAAGCGAAATTTATTTAAGTATCTTTGAGTTGCGTACAGTGCCACCAACAGTTAGTACGTTGTAAAGTATTAAAAAAAGTCTATCTTGTTATTACATCGCTTTTAATTGTTGGCACTGACATAGGCACTTTGTAATTTCGACCATGGTGCGTACTTAAATATAAATAAATACATTGGAAGTTTATATCAAAAATTAGTATAGGAAAGCTCATTTTATTCTGTCGACACGACATTATATTAATTTGTTATTTATTGAGAAAATATAGAAATTTATGAAAATAAAAAACACGGAATTGTACTCGCAACGTTATTAAGCAAAATATAATTAAAATAATAGTTTAGAATCGTGAACCAAACCAAATCAATTTGTGTACAAATGTCTTGTATACTTAAAGGGAGTAAAAATGTCGTTTTCTATTAACATTAATTTGTTTTCTATTTGCAAAAACCTTCCAAAAATAGATAATAAAAATAATGAATTTTTTCGAGTTACAGGACATTTTTGGAGACTGTATTTTTTTTGCTCGAAAGAATTATTTGATTGCCCTTGTCCATGGAGCCAATTTCAAATCACAATTCTGCACCAAAATCACCAACTAGAAATTATGTATTCCAATTGTGTATTTCGTTTTTTTTGTGCTAAATGTAATTTCGAGTAATGTAATACAGTCTGCCTCACAATTTTTCTAGCCTAAACCTGTGTGAAGGCAAACTTTAGCTCTAAAAATAGCTGCGCGTGGAACATTTTGTCAAAGATAAAAATGTGCAACGTATTTGTAGGACCTCAAAGTCGTTATTACCTACATGTATGTGACAGTGTTTTATTTTTGTATTTTGATAAAATTTGTGTAAATAATTTTCTTATTTTATTGATATTAAACTCAATTAATCAAGGTTTGTTTTATTAAGATATAAGTTATCACTCTACAGGGTGCAACAAATGCTCCGTCCATGATTTTCAAGTGTGCATTGTACTCATGATGAATAAACAACTTCAAAATTTATATTTTTCCCCAAACAATATTTTATTATATACATGTATGTTTGTTTCCCCATACGAATGCCCGATTGACCGACACGCATGTGTATCTATTGCGAGTACGATTGATAAGCTGAACTATACGACCGAACCTTTTTGTTATAGCCTGTATAAGTGAGATTTGTTCTGGTGAGTTACCACCTACGACTCGAGTACATGTTTACGTTACACCGTAATTGGACTATGGGAGGCCATGACGACGCAGAAGTCACTCTTGCCACTAGGCTCCCATGCCTGTAATCCCATGGGATTACAGCATAATTTTATATCCTATTGGTTCCTATATTCACGGGATTGACGTTTATACGAACTTTTTTTAACATGTACCTATGTAGCAACTTGTTTTTTAAATTCCCATTTAGAAGTAGCTGGCTTAGAAGTTTCAAATGTATACTTTTTTTCATAAGATCTAAACGTTGCATTACACCAGCGCTAAGTCCAAATTGAGAAATGGCTTTACTGCATTCCTAGTCACTTTGCAGAAGTGTTGCCGAGGCGATCGTGCGGTTACAAGTACCCCTCTGTCGATTACACATCCCTTGTAAGTTTGTGGTGCGTAACGCTGTAGGTACTTTATGTAAAGAATTTTTCATCACACTTGCTGGCACAAATAAAATAAATATGATTGCATGGTGGCTAACTTGACAATAGTGCTTCAAATAAAACCCTCGGGGCCCTTTTTCCTTCCATTACTAATTTTTAGCACGACATACCGATACCTCCAAAACTGTACAGATACCTCCAAAAATGTGTCCCTTTCAATAACTTTATGTTATTACATGAATACTAAGCATTATTTATTTAATATGATTGCTTGCTTACTTATTGTGTGTTACACATAAAAAGACTATTTTACTACATCACAGTAATAAATAAAAATTAAAAAAGTGGACAATTTCTCATTCATGGGAACCGGTTCCACGTCGCTCTAATTTTAAGAAAAGAAGAAAATAATTAAACACTCGTGGAAATCGCAATATTTCCCATCGAGTATAAACCCTAATAACTTACACGTCGAATATATACCGTAACTTTACAATTTATCATAAACAAACATGTTTTCTCGGGAATACAAAATGTGTTTCAATTTTTCTTATCATTAGTGTCAATTCAACTAAAAGCCTCCTAATAACAAAAGTTCATACAGCATCACCTTCACCCTTCGCACACGTGAGAAGGGGCTACTGTCGGATTGGAGTTTACAGTGAAGTAACCATCTCCGTTTTAGCAAAAAATCGACTTAAATACCAATTTCAGCGCTAGTGACTAAATCGTTCTCATTCATATAAAGCAATCTATGTAAATAAATATTAAGTAATAGTTTTATAAACTTTATTGAACGTACATCAATTAGACAAAGGGAACTTTAAAATCCATGCACTTTTATAACGATCCAGCATATTTTACACACTTGACAATTAAAAATGTATCCAAATATCATTATTGTCGCTCTCATTCTTGTCTACTTTTAAGTCTAATAGGTACTTTAAGCCAAACATTTGCTTGAAATATAACAATTAGATGGTGATAGTGGTGGTGATAACGGTGGTGGCGATGATGATGGTGGTGGTGATGACGATGATGATTGTAGTGATGATGACGATGATTGTGATGATGATAATGGTGATCATGATGATGATGTTGATGGTGGTTATGATGATATATTGATGTACAATAAAGTTTATGTGACATTAACAAAATACTTATTTAGGTTTATTTATTAATTACATATAGATAGATAGATGATCAGACACGGATGAAAAGGATTGTGATACAAGAAGTTATATTAAAATATTTGTTATATGTTCTTTTGTGATCGTTAAAATGTGTGTTGTAATAATAATTTCTCATTACTGTGCCGTCTTTCTCATTTATGTTTATGAGAAAATCATTCGTGTTACTGCAATCTCATTCTTGTGATCTAAAATATAGTTTTTTTTTTGTTGTATTTAACGTAAATATTTCTGTGACTTTATAATTATTGACATGTTTGAACTTTTTGTACGTTTAAGACCTTAAAACCAAAACAAAAATGGGTTTTACAAAAATCACTCAAAAAGTGCCATTGAAATTCGAAAAGTGAAATTCACCCAGTAGGTTAGGTTAAGTTCAAAATTAAAATATTCGCTTAAAAAATGTTATCGATACAGAAATTTCATTGCAATTCAACCACATACTACTTAAATGCATTAATTCGTCTTTAACTGCTTTTGTGGCCGAACGATTAGGTACCATGCTAGACTGTCATGTCATGCTTCCCAGGCCGAGAGAAATGTTTGTATGGCCTCATTGACTTTATTTGTAAGTCAATGTATGGCCTACATTTATTTGCTTGCGAGTTTGGGTGTAATTTGTGGTTGTCTATGTGTGTGTTCATGGCACTCGTGATACAAGCCTGAGGGGGCTACGAATGTTTGTTGCGTTGTTGTTGTAACAAATTTTAAACCTGTGTATCACAAAGAAATAAATGATTTAATATGAAATGCAAGTACCTAGTCAGTTTTTCCTTGTAATATTATTCAAATATTGACCATGAACTAAAATTCTTTCCTGAACTTGACAAATATGCTTATCAATAGATGGCATTGTGTGTTAATAAAAATATATTGTGCGCTGTCATTATAAAATAGTCGAAAGAGTTATAAGAATTGGAGAGGATGTGGGTTATATATTTTTCTGTATTTATTGAAGCAATAAACATTTTTGACGTAAGTCCAAGAATGGCATTCTTACATGAGGGATCGAATTAACGCTTTCTAATATTGGTAGATGGCGCTAATCCTAAACAAAATAATAGAATATCCGGCAATGTCCTTAAAAATCTGCGAAATAGCGCCATTTATAGAAGGACGCTGTTATAGAAGATATAACACAGTCCCACGACAATGCTCCTACTTTAAGTAGCAACAGTATACATTTTACTAACCATAATTTAAACTAAAAAACACGACAACAGAAAAGTCTAATCGTTTCCATGTAGTACATCAAAATATTCAAGGCTTTTCTGGCAAAATATTAGAAATAAGTCTTTTTTTGCACGATATTTCCGTTGACGTGTTTTGTGTTACAGAACACTGGCTGAAAGATTACGAAGCCATTAACAATATAGAAAATTATGTAATAGTCAGTTCGTTCATAAGAAAGAGCTTAAGTAGAGGCGGATCCATGATTATTATTAAGCGTAACTTAAAATTTAAATAGCGTAAGGATATCACAAATCTTTCTACTGAACGAACTATTGAGATTTCATGTGTGGAATTGGATCAGTTTGTCGTCTTATGTGTATACAGGCCCCCCTCTGCTAATTTTAACGAGTTTGAATTAATTATGGAAGACAGTTTAAAGCGGATTTTTCCAACCAAAAAAAACGTAGTAATATGTGGAGATTTCAATGTAAACCTGTTGGAAAACTGTTCTACTTCTGCAAGACTCATTAATTTATTTCAAAGTTTTAACTTGATTAATCTTTTTTTAGAACCAACTCGCATTACTGCCTCCTCTTCTACTTGTATTGATAACATCTTTTGTAACACAGACGCAGTGTCTAAATCAATAATAAATTGCTTAAGATCCGACCATAGTGGCCAATTGGCTTCTTTTAATTGTAAAATGAGCAAGAAGGTAGACCAATTTCTCTGCAGACCGATTACCACAGAACGAATAATTAGATTTCAAAATAATATCGGCAACAGTTTAAATTCCCTATCCCATATACCGGAGGATCCAAATACTTTATATAACACGATATTTGGTTTAATTAAAAATGAATTTGACAATATATTTAAATCGAAAACATTAACTTTCCATAGAGAGACTAAATTCAACGACTGGGCAACAGTAGGTATTCATAAGAGTAGGTCTTGTTTGTATGAGCTATATGCTATGAAAACTTATAATAATAATTCCAATTTCATAGAATATGTTAGAATTTATTCGAAAATATTTAAAAAAGTTTGTGTAGCTGCTAAGGTTAAGTTTCACAGCGACAAAATTAGACAATCGATAAATAAATTTAAAACTACTTGGAGCATAATAAATAAAGAGTCAGGCAGGGTTAAACTACACGATAGAGATATAGTTTTAGAATTAGACAGCAAACTTATAAAATCTAAAGATAAAGTAGCCCAAGCTTTTGAATCGTTCTTTTCGGAAATTGCTGTGAACACTACAAAATCATTAAATTCCTCCCCTTCACTTGCTATTGATCTCCTAAAGGAAAATGTTAACGTTTGTGGCAGTTTATTTAATTTTCGTCATGTTAATCCACAAGACATCATAAAAGCTTTTAAGTCAATACATGTTAAAAAAACTGAATATCTCTGGGGCATATCAACTAAAGTTATAGACTCAGTTATTAATCTCATTTCCCCACAGTTAGCTGTAGCTTTCAATAGGTGCGTTGACGAAGGTGTTTTTCCCGATTTAATGAAATACAGCAAGGTTATTCCCTTATTCAAAAGCGGTAGGAAAGTTGATCCTAGCAACTATAGGCCCATTTCAATTTTACCAGCTTTAAGTAAAATATTCGAAAAGGTTATGCTAACTCAATTACTGTCCTATTTCGGTAGGAATCATATTTTTCATAGTGAACAATACGGGTTTACTAGTGGTAGATCGACTAGCGATGCGGGGGTAGCGTTACTAAAACACATCTTTGATGCTTGGGAAAGATCCCAGAACGCTATTGGTGTTTTCTGTGACCTCTCAAAGGCATTTGATTGCGTTGATCATAATACTCTTATTAGTAAGCTGGAACATTACGGTGTAAATGGCAAGGCGTCGAAACTTGTCTCATCATATCTCAACGGTAGAATTCAGAAAGTAGGCATAAATGGAGCGACTTCTTTGGGTTCTCCAGTAAAAATGGGTGTTCCGCAGGGCTCAATACTTGGACCTTTCTTATTTCTGATTTATATTAATGATCTGCCATTCTTTGTTAAGGACCATTGCGAAATAGTGTTGTTTGCTGATGACACATCCTTGATTTTTAAAACAGACAGACATGACATTAACTATGACCGTATTAATGATACCCTCTCTAAAGTAGTTTATTGGTTTAATGCTAACAATTTATTGCTTAATGCCAAGAAGACAAAATGTGTTAAATTTGAATTACCTAACGTAAAATCGACTAGTCCAAGCATAGAAATAAACGGAGAAAAGTTAGACCTTGTTAATAAAGCAGTCTTCTTGGGAGTGACCTTAGATAGTAAACTTCAGTGGTTTCCACATATATCGTCCCTGGCCAGCAGATTAAGCTCCGCTGCATACGCAGTCCGCAGAATACGTGAGCTTACCGATGTTAGTACTGCTAGACTAGTTTACTTTAGTTACTTCCATAGTATAATGTCCTACGGGATTCTCATGTGGGGTAAAGCGGCAGATATTCAAACCATATTTGTATTGCAAAAACGAGCGATTCGTTCTGTGTACCGTCTAGGCTCTCGGGTATCTCTCAGAGAAAAGTTTAAGGAGACTGGTATCATGACTGTGGCATCACAGTACATTTACTCAAATATTTTATATGCCCGTAAAAATATACATAATTTCAATAAGAAAGAAGATATCCATAATATTAACCTTAGAGCTAAGTCCAAACTCATGGTACCACGATTTCGTTTAACCAAGGTAAACAACTCTTTTATGGGGAACTGTATACGTTTTTACAATAAGATTCCGGAGCATATATTAAGTTTATCATTTCCTAAGTTTAGAAACTACATTAAAAATATTTTGATCGAAAAATCATATTACAAAATTGAAGACTACGTGTTAGATAAAGATGTATGGAAAGACGACATGGCTCCTGAATCCACACAAATTTGATTCAAAATGTATTCCATAGCATTTAAGTTTATTTGAAAAGAGCAATCCCTAGAGTTTCTTGCTCGTTCTTCTCAGGGAGGTCAGCGTAGTGAACGAGCAGTACCTTAAATGTGACGTTTTCAAGTGTAAATTTATTTTACCTATGGAATAAATCATCTTTGACTTTGACTTTAGTTGATTTGTTAATTATCACTAGAAATTAGAGTAGTTTGTTAAATTGCAGTTCGTCCATATAGATATTGAGCTGGTCAATGTAAAACAAATTATAATTATATACAATACAAAAATATCCATTCGATGATTGTCGCGATATCTGGTCTACCAATAGGTATTAAATATCCGTAAGGCTCAACTCACACTGGCGCAGAGTCGAAGCGTCACGTCGCCGTGTCCTGCGCGCTTTCACTACACCGCCTGACAAAGCGCAACGACACTCGCATTAGTGTGCCGGGATCATAGTGTGGTCTGCGTCGGCGTCTGACACCTCACGGCGCCCAAGTGACACGCGGCGACGCGCGAAGTCGCTCGAATGCTGTCAAGCGTCGATGCGCGTCGACACTCGATTCCATATTTGCAAAACACAAAGTACCTTAAAATTGGGAAATAAAATATGCTATAGGCAAAAAACACTTCGGCTCTGCGCCAGTGTGAGTTGAGCCTAAGCCGTCTCTTGTGTTGCGATTAGATTAGCTGTCCTCCTATGTTATTGGTCCATGGCAATATTAATTTGTGTAAATATATTTTGTTGTCGTCACTTCTCCGTTCCTTTATTTTTTTCCATCCTAGGCTTCTAAGCGACAAATAAAACGATCACTAGAGTTGTGATAAAAACCGTAAACAACTTTTTAATATGAAACCCACACACAAAAGTTGTATCACAACTAATGTCAAAATGTTTGAGGTATTTTTTATGGCAACACCGTGCCTTTTTCCTTGACGTAAAGAAGGAATGTGAGTTTCGCAAATTTTTATGAATTTTATCTCTAAAAATCAGTGAGAATTAGTCATATTTGGTGTAAAATATACCGCATTCAGTTCATTTCATACTTGCTGCACCTTGTGATGTAAATATTTTTTGTGCGGAGAATAAATTACTTAAGAAAATCGAAGTTGTAGTCAATGTTATTTTTTAGGTTTACTGTGCTTATTTTTAATTGTTATCCTAATAATGTGACTTACACTCGCTACATGCTTTCGCTTGTGGTGTCACTGAAGTATTTCTCGCGTCATGAGTCCTCTATAACCTGGAAGTAGTGTTGATGTGAATGAAGACGTGAAGGTTAGTTGGTTGTTGCAGATCCATCCAAGATGGGTAAGATTATGAAGCCTGGGAAGGTGGTGCTGGTCCTTAGCGGCCGGTACGCTGGTCGCAAAGCCATCGTAGTAAAAAACTACGACGAGGGTACGTCAGACAAACCGTACGGACACGCTTTCGTTGCCGGCATCGACAGATATCCTCGCAGAGTACACAAGAGGATGGGCAAAAACAAAATTCACAAACGCTCTAAAGTAAAGCCCTTCGTTAAGGTTGGTATTCTACTGGTTGTCGTAACATAACCTAAAATTTGTTGTTTATTATGTGTTGGTATAATCCATTCATTCATTTCACATAGGATGGGTACTGTGAGATATCAAATTTTTACATTGCTGCTCACAAAAAGAAACAGTAAATTTGTTGTAGTGTATCAAAAACAAACAATATTTTGGTTCAATTGTAAAATTAGTTAACAATTGCAGTATATGAAGTAGAGAGAAAGTAAAATGATAAAGATAAAAATAAATTACCCAATTACTTGGTTGCATTAAATGGAATATTTATCCATAGAGATTTACATCATAAATTGAATTTGTTTTTGTGTATCTCGCATCAATATGTGTGCATTCACCTTGAATGCGGGTTCTTTTCTTTTGAGATTTACATGACGTTTTGGGAGTAGTTGTTCAAATTCAGTTTAGTTGCTGTTGATTTAAGCTTTTTTGTAGACTTTTTGTTTGGTTGTCTATTTTCTAAATTATTGTAGTTTTCTAGTAACTTAATAAGAATAATGTAATCCTTTTTATTTTGTTTAATATTTGCTCTTAAAATAATGGTCTTTAAATCAATTATCTCTTCATAAGAAACTTAACTCGATAAAAATTCAATCAATTTGTTAAAATGAGATTTTACATCACTATGTCTTGTCCAGGAAAGTCCCTCAGTTCTTCAATGCTGTCAGCCTTGGCTCTGCACTGTAATTAGTGGTGATCACAATAGATCAGTCAATGGTCGCAGTGATGTGGGGATGCAAAGGTTCTGAATGAAGCCACCCTGATAATAACAATACCCATGCTATGTGAAATTGACTATTTTGACAAAAAATATGTAATATAAATATTATGGTAATAAAACAAAATCGTGATATTGCAAAAAAATTACATATTTACATTTTGTTTTTCAATTCCGAAACTTCTTTGAAATTCTTCTAAACACACTACCGCAGTAAAGCAATTGCTAGTAGCATATTTAAAATATAGACAAAAATACAATATATCAATTCCTGGTTTGCAGAGAGATGTATTATCCACGTTGTCTCTATTCTTTCTTACTATTCTATACTTTCTTCAAATGTAGATAAATAATTTGCATCTATGGTGGAACAGTGACCCTACTTGCATTTGCAAAAATTTACAGAAAACGAGTTAAAAGTTTTATGGCTACATTTGAAGAGCTCTTAAATGCTATAATATTTCAATAAGCATTTTGTCCTATATGGGAAAATGAAGGAGAGCGTGATGTGTCTCTGTTTTGTGTATAAATTTCATTGTTTAGTCATTTTCACATTTTTTGCAGTTAAGGCTGTGTCTCACCATAGGTGCAAGCAATATCCTCTTGCATATTCCGATCTATATTGGAGTGCAGTACTGTCTACTAAAATATACAATTCATTTTTCTAGTCTTATTGAATGGATTTGCCGCATTGTTTTCTAGATCCGTGCATTTGAAACATATTTTTAATTTAATTATTGGAAGATTCATGTGTAAAATATACTCTGACCTGATAAGAGCCTATATAAAGAAAATTGCCAGATTGTACTGGATAACACTTTTTGTTTGTCCAACTGTACATCCAGTTCAACAAATATTGTACATACGCCAGTACATCAAGCTACACATTGACGTATCTTGTTTCGTTGCACTGGAGGCGATTTTCGAACAAAAATGTGTAGTCTGGTGTGCCGTTGTTCGTACATATTGTATATCTAACAAGTAATGATAACTTTGTATTGAAATTCAACTATAATGCTCAGGCCACTCAGAGGCGGCCGCAGAAGCGTTCCGGGCGCGGGAATTTTTGTAATGTACGAGTTCATATGAACCCTGGCACTGAAACTGTTTCAGATTACAGAAATTCCTGCGACTGCCTCAGTGTCCAGAAAATTAGAAAGCTGTTTAATTGGGTTAAATGTAATATGCATAGAAAGTGGAAAATTTAGTGGTGTGAATCCTTCTTTATATATAACTATAATCGTAATTAGTCTGTGAATTTTCTTAAAATGTATAAAACATTATATCTACGCAGTTTAAAGTATGAAATTAGCATAGCACAAAATTTTATTTGCAGGAATTGATTAGTTTTTCTTATTTGAGAGCTAAGCTCTTGATGGTAGAACAGTAATCACCAACCATCTCTATTCAATGCCCTAATTTAAAGCTCCTAATACGATACAGCATGAATTTTTCCCTTAATTGACCTGTTAACTTCATCTCGGTCTTCCTGTGCCTCTATTTCTTACGATCGTCCCTTCTATAATGCTTCTAAGAAACCTGTTGTGATTTTAGATAAACATTTCTCCAGCAGTTCTCCATTGTCTTTAATAATTTCTTTTTTTTTTTTCGTTATTCCTAACACCTCCTTATTGTAATATGAAGTTAATTGAATTATTACGCGCGTCGCCAAGCCTTGTAGTTGTAAAACATGACGTGTCGCGACGCTTCGACTTTGCGCCAGTGTGAGTTGAGCCTTAGTGTTCCATCTTTGTATTAATAATTAACTCCTTTATCAAATATTATAAATTAATATCTTATTGGTTTTTTATTCTGTCCAACTGATTTCCTTAGTTTCTCTCCAAATGATTACAGCGCGAAAAATTTAATACTGACAAGTGAATTAATTCTTAATTTGTTGCTCGGGTGTTTAAGATAGAATATAATTGGAAATTAAAAGTAGGCTCCAGGAAAATTTGCTTGAAGATCATTATGCTATGATTTTATTCCATTCCGCAGTAATGTAAATTGAACCAAAGATACTCGAAATAGCAACATTATTGAATAAAATATGATTCTTGATTATTTATTAATTAATATTTTTCCAGGTAGTGAATTACAACCACCTGATGCCAACTCGCTACTCCGTTGACTTCAGCTTTGAGAAGTTTAGCGCCAAGGACCTAAAGGACCCAGCGAAGCGCAAAAAGCTGCGTTTCAACACCCGTGTGCGCTTTGAAGAGCGGTACAAAAGCGGAAAGAACAAATGGTTCTTCCAGAAGCTTAGGTTCTAAGATAATAAATTCACTACTACTATAATTTTATTTTGTTTTATTTAGGTATTTATTTGCCCCTATTATACATTATAATGTAACTGTACACAACTTGGTCGTTGATGTACAGGAACTTTTGCTATTCTTAGGCTCAATTTACATTGCGACGGAACGGAATGGAATGGAAGCGTCGATTTCGCTTCGCGCGAGAAGGCGCGTGTGGTCGCTGGAACCCTCGATCATTCGCGAGCTTTCTCACGACTACGCCCTGAGACTAGTAATTTGTTGTCGACGTTTGACGTCACACTGCGCCTGCCTTCGCGCCACTTCTCGCGAATTCGCCAGACGTCGCCGACGGCAGCTGCGGAATTCTCGCGAATGCGTACTAATTTCACGGAAGATGCGCGATGTGATTTTTGGCTCGTATCTAGTTTGTACGTTACACAATGTACCATAAAGTTCATTACGATATGTACAATATCGTTACAAAAATTCGCTTCCATGATGTCGCGGTTTATGTTGCTCACGCGTAAGTTGCGCCCTGTTAGCTAGCCCTAGTGTTCAAATTGTCCATATTCATTGACAGGAGATTATGGAATGAACGCAAAAAATAAACACTATCAACATTCTATTTTTAACTGACTTCAAAAAAGGAGGGGTTCTCAATTCGACTTTTTTTTTGTATGTATGTTACACGATATTTCCGGTATTTGTGAACCGATTTTCATGATTATTTTTTTGTTGGAAAGGGGGTACTTCCATAGTGGTCCCATGAAGAAAATCATCCACCTCGAAGGGTGGCTGTTCACGCATGAAGATTCATTTTTATTATAAATAGCGCCTAACTTTTTTGTTATTTTTATTTGAAATGGTTTTTGCTGTAATATTTTATGAATTTTTTAATTGTTCTTTTCAAATTTTAAATTTTATTTTATAAATAATTGTAGAGAAACTCACAATGTCGCGTCATAATATTTCTAAGCTTTTGTGATATCCTGGCATTATGCACTGCTCATGTAACATTATTTTTTAAGTTCTAAATGTATGCTGTTGGATTTCCTTTAATAAATAAATAAATAAAATAAACTTTAATTTAGGAGCAATTACTATAATGGTTGATTTTGCTATTTCTCCAATTCAAGGCGTTTTTCTCCATATACTTTGAGTAGTGAGAACCGATTTTTATTATCTCCAGTCAAGTCCTGTATAGTGTCGAACTAGGGGATATTTCAATAAAACTTAGCAAATAGACGTAATTCTACGTACTTTTGAGGTCGGTTTTTATAGTACTTTGTACTGAAATTATAGAAACCTTTTTTTTTCGGGAAATAATCCATTATATCTTTTGGACAAAATGTCTGCACTATGGACCTTAAAGGTAATGAAACTTCAAAAATAAGCTACATAATTTGCTTTATTTCAATTGTAAATAAATAAATTATTCTTACAAAAGTCTATCTAGCTTAACTATTATATGAAGCCGTAATTCAATTTAATTGTACAATGCACATGTATTTTAAGACATTTGTTTAAGACACTAATAACATTTATTAGTGTTTATTAACTTATCCATTTTTATAAAATTAATTTTCATACATTGCTATACTCTTAGAATAATAACGCATAGATACCTAGTCCGCACACGCTAAGTGAGGCAAATTGAAGCGCTCAAGGTCAACCTGCATCGCGAACAGCTCCAAAATTTTGGCTAAAAAATGGCGAAATGTGCGGTAAATGAGTGTAAAAATACGTCACACAAACATAAAATAGATACTAACATCACATTCCACAAGGAAGTAACGCGTTTCAACTTGAATTTTTATATAAATATTCACTAAACCGAAAATTAACCTACTACTAAAACTAGCCTACATGAATTTGATTTTTGCCTCACTTGTGACAGTTCGTTTGATATGAAACTATCATTCTATGCATTGACTTCATTGACTTAGAATTATATGGACGTCAATCATTGACTTACAAATAAATGGACGACGGGTCTAATACAAAAACCA